GGGGAATCTTTCCATTACTGCGACTCGATTGGTATTGTATTACGGTGATAAGTTTGTTTAGGATCGCCTCCGAATGGGAACGAATAGAGGGAATGTGGAAGAAGGAAAGATCAAAGGTTGTAGGCACCACAACAACTGAGGAGCTACTCGTAAGTGACAGGTGTTGGCATTCGCTGCACAGCCGCTAAATTCCCCATGTTTCAGCTCATCGAACAGTGGCTTACACATGCGGAACGTCGAGTGAAGGCGGTGAACGAGACTGGCTTCAAAATGCTCCTCGACGAGGGCAATGTGCGTGTGCCCTTGTACTATTCGTAGCGTTGCGAGATACGCTTCGCTCGTTGTAATACGAGAGAATCCCCCCGACTTTTTCGCTTGCTTTGAAGAACATGACATGTGTTTCTAGGGTCACAAAGCACGTCTGGTAGAGCTCGGTTCCACTAGTGACGTCGAGGATGGACCCAGAATCACGCATCTCTCGGGTCGAATCGAAGAATTCCTGCACTACGTGAAAACGAGGATGAATCGATCACAACGAATTCAGGCGTTCTTCCAGTCGGCTCAGACGGTTAGCGCCATCCTCCTCATCGTTCTCTCTTCCGTTATTCTAGCACTGGGTGACGTACTCATCAGTCGTGTGTAGTTAGTCGCTCACTCATGTGGTAATCGAACGACTGCTTCAACGATTCGAAAACATGAGCAGGTCCTGGTCACTTCAGTACAATACCAAGTACATTTAGGAATTTTTTTTACAGATCAACTGACTAAAACCAGCTTTGCCTTCTCAAATTTGTTGCATAGATATCCAAAAATCAGGTGGTGCTGGTTGTTCGATTACCATCTCGAACGAAAACTGTTCCTCGTACGGTCCCGCTTTCATTATACCCGCAATCTTTTTTCCTTCCGCCGTTCAATTACGGTCATCTGACAACCTCCTATCACCTCTTTTCGAACGAGATATTCCGGTGCCTGCGGGATCCTCCCTTCTAAGGCAGGGTAGCATTTTACCGTAAGATTTTGGAGAACCCGGTCAAATTTGAATCACCCTGGGTACTAAATTTATTTGCATGAATTCTACACGAGTTTTCTTAGTACAGTGCTGTCACGAGATCTCAATGTGATCGAAGGAACAGATAAGTCTGACACTTCAAAGCCTAGTAAAAAAGAGCTTCGAAAGACTCAAAATCTCAAAGATTTTTCACGAGGTCCGTAAAAGCTTTATAGGCTACCTTTTAGGGCTAATCGCCTCTTTCGGACCGTGAAAAGAAGGAAGTCTATTCATGGCTTATCCGACCAAATGTCTCCCTAACCACGAGCCTATTTCTGTACGCTGATCTGGAAAGTATTCAAGAAATGAAGGCGGTTTTTCAATTTCTGAGAGGCCCGGCACATAGGAAATAGGGCTTTTTTGTTCTGGGAGGTCCTATGAAAACCTAGAAAGTCTTGGAGGCAATCGCCCCTGGTGACAAAGTTTAGCATTTCCCTGGTTTTCCTTTTCTTGTACCCTTACCTTTTAACCCTTCCGTTGGACCCTCAGTTTTCATTATGTAACTGGTTAATTTTATAAATACGACATATGAAAATCAAAAATGCAAAATTCAAAAATTGCTTATTCTAATAAGAGAAATTTTTCACCGCTTTCTTTTGGCGTTGCCGGGGTCGCTCAAGAAATAAGTCTCCATTTCCACGCTCCGTGTAAAAGCAGATCTTGAATACAAAAGCCGTTTGGGTAAGCGCTTCGTGTCCTGAAGACCTTCCTGGTAAGAGCCCTTCAATACCAATAATCCCTCAGGTATAAACCAAAAAAGACCCCACTGTGCGGTCCGTTACGAGGAATAGTGGCTTACGCAGCAGCAGCAGTTGTGTGTAGATGTTATTATACGTTGCTGACCGCTTTTATTGATGTTGAATGTTGTTTTAGGCTGTGGCCTTAACCGTGAGTGTGGTTGTGCTGTACCAGTTGTATAAGTGGAAATACTGGAGAAGTTCGCTTCGCTGAAATTTCCGTGATCCGCTTCCTTACACCACTTTTCAGTCATTTCTGTGAGCCGAAAGCTGCGCGCCACGGCCTGCCGCAATCCTTCAATTGAAAAGGGTTCTCGGCCACG